GTTTTCACAAGAGCAACATCATGGTCATCTAGGAGCGATATTTGAGCCGTGTCATCCCATTTTTGGTGGTCGCCAGACCTCATAATAAGATCTCTAACTAAGGATTATCAGTCTCAGATCCTCCGTGAACTGTTCGTGGAGGATGAGTTGGGAGCCAATTATCCTTAAAAATCCTAGTGTTTGAACCATCTCCAATAATAGTTCTAGATCCTTGTTTCAAAACATTAATACCACAAAGAATGGAAGCCCACCCATTAGATTGGTTCCTTCTACTTTTTGCATCAAAAAGATGATCATCCTTATAATATTGAGCCTTATATAGAAAAGACAATCATGATGTTCTAATAGACGTGAAGCTTGTTTAGCAAGGAGGGCATCATTAAACTTAGCAAGATCCTTAATTCCCCAACCCCCTTCCTTTTTAGTATACTGGAGTCGCTTCCAAGCTACCCAAGGAAGGCTTTTAGGTTGAGCGTTTTTCCCACCAGAACTTACTTAAGATACTATCAAGTTCATATGTTACCTGGTTTGGTAACTTGAAACAAGACATGGAATAAACAGGTATGGATAGAGCGACTGGTTTCAGAAGAACGTCTTTGCCAGCTGGTGATAAAAGTTTGGCACTCCAGGAAGATGTTTGTTGCTTCACTCAATTAATAACATTTGCAGACATCTCTGTTTTTTTCTACCAAATTGTTCAGGCAATCCCAAATATTTTCCTCCACCACCGTGTTTTGTGATCCCCAAGACTCATTTTAGTCTTTTTTGTTTAGCTCAATGAATACAAGAGCCAAACATAATCATTGATTTATCTTGATTAATCTTTTGGCCAGAACATTGTTCATACAACCGAAAAACATCCTGAATTGTTGCACAATTTGTACCATTTGCTTGGCAAAAGAATAATAAATCATCAGCAAACAGGAGGTGAGTAATTCGGGGAACTCCATTCCCAATTTTAATACCATTCAGTCTTCCTTTTTGGGCATTTTGAGTTAGTAGATGATTCAAAACATCTGCACAAAGAATAAAGAGATACAATGATAGGAGGTCTACTTGTTGAAGCCCTCGTTCTGGAATAATGTGACCTTGGGGTCTTCCATTAATGAGAACATAGTAAGTAACCGATGTAACTGACGCTATGATCTATTGGATCCACTTGTTGCTGAAACCAAAAGCTCGCATCGTTTCTTCGAGGAATCCCTATTCCACTATGTCATAAGCCTTGGACATATCCGTTTTAACAACCAAATAAGTTTGAGAAACTCGTTTTCTGCTTTTTAGTGAGTGAATAAGTTCATGGGCGACCATGACATGATCAGAAATCATTCGACCTGGAACAAAAGCAGCCTGTGATTCTGACACAATTTTGTTTAAAAACTTTTTTAATCGTTTGACATGCATTTTGGATATGTTCTTATAAAAGAAGTTGCAAAGAGCAATTGGTCTGTAATCTGCTAACGTTTTAGGTGTTTTAATTTTTGGGATCATACATATATTAGTATGATTAATGTTATCCTTCATGGTTGACGACTCAAAGAACCGAAAAACTTCAGTTGTTACATCAGAGCCAACAATGTCCCAGCATTCTTGATAGAATCGAGCTGTTAATCCATCCGGTCCAGGTGCTTTGTCGAAGCCAATTTCACATACTACTTCATATATCTCAATGGTTGTAATATCTTTTATGAGATTTAAGTTCATATCAGATGTCACAGTAGCCTTAAAATCAGTGAATATTGAAAGACCAGCGTGATTCCTATCACTAGCATACATATCAGAGAAGTATGTTTCTACATACGCTCCAATATCCGTATCACCATGGTATATATTTCCATGAATGTCATTAATTCGGTGGATCCTGTTTTTTGAATGTTTTGACTTTGTAACAGCATGATAGAATTTCGTATTTTTTTCACTACTTGTAAGCCATATGTTTCTGCTTTTAAGGTGCTAATAGATTTCTTCATTCTTATAGGCCTGAGCAAGTTCCCATCATATTTGTGGTATATAATACGGTGCAAGGTCGACTGCAGTAAGTGCAAAATTAAATTTAATTTGTAGTGACTCAATTAGTTTTGTTGAATTAGTTTTTGAAACTCTGCGACATCGCACCAATGACTTTCGTACATCTCGAAGTTGGTCTAAGAAAGAAAAAGACTCTTGTGAATAAGAAGATGTCCACCCCTGTAGAACATACGATTTGAAATCTGGGTTTTGGAGAAGTCATTTATCGAATCGAAAGCGCCTCAGTGGTACATTTTTTTCAAAAGCAACAGTTGTTATAACAGGTCTATGATCAGACGCACAAAAACCATGAAAATCTGCTACTGAATTAGGAAAAGATGATAAAGATTGAGAATTTTCAATAACCCGATCCAAACAACATCTAACTTTGTGAACACCTATGTTTACTGTCCAAGACATTCTGTTTCCACGATGCCTTAGGTCTGATAAATCACATGAACTATAGAAATTTCTGAAGTCTCTAAACGTTCTTTCTTCTCGTTAAGGACCACCCTTCTTTTCATTATTTGATGAAATTTCATTAAAGTCACCAATACGTAACGAAGGTCCTTGTCCACTCTCGTTTAGGTGCTCTAAATGTTCCCAAAATTCATGTCGAAGAGATTGATTTGGATTTCCATAAACACAAGAAAAATAGAAATCCATTCCATTGTATTTAACATAAACATCAAGCAAACAGTTTGAGCAATACAACTGAGTGATACATAGATCCTTTTCCAGAAAAGAGCAAGGCCCCCAATATGACCTTGTGGAGGGATTGTGGAAACATAATCAAAGCCTAGACTAGTATAAAGAGCATGGACAACATCACATTAGTTCATCGTTTTGACTAAGAATAACAAATCAAGAGAAGCCTTTCTACAAAGTTCCTTGAGCCGAGATTTTGTCAAGAGAGATTGTAACCCTTGGTAATTCCATGATATAATCTGCATGGTGCTCTTCAGAGGCGTGAGGGGATAGGATCCCCATTGCCATTGAACTGTCATTGGTTAATAGTAGATGTAGATTCACATGGGTCTTACTCGTGCTCTGTTTTGATTTCTGGAAATCCCATCGTTTCCTTCTGAACATTATTTGGCAGCGCCTGACTCTTGTTGTTGATGTTATCATCATCATCATTGTCTTATCCATGTCCTGGTGTTGGTGAGATCTCCTGGAATGGTTCCCCATGTTTGCGTTTTGAGCTCGTTCGACGATTGTTGATAACGACTGTTGGTACGAAAGCATCCAATTCTGAAGACATCTCAGAGAAGACATCATTGTTGAAAGATGTACATGTGTTTGTAACTCTAGGTATGATATTGGATGTTCTTCATTTGTAAAGCCATGATGGTATGATGGGGCCATAAAGCTTGATTCAGCGTTATCAAATTGGCGTAACATCTGTTCAACCCTCTCCCTCTTGCTTGAAGTAAACCCTGAGTTTTCTTCTTATTCGACATAATCTTGTAGCAGCGTAGTGAAATCACCTCCAGAGAATTTTTCCTTTCGCCATTTTAGCCTGAAGGTATCGCCAGGTTTCGGATATCATATTTGTATCCTCTCGAATTTCAAAAAGAGCGTTAGTATCATCTAATGAACCGGCGCTTGCGATGCTGTTGTTTTGCAGAGCAGTTGTTGGTGACGGTTCATATTTGTATCCTCTCGAATTTCAAAAAGAGCGTTAGTATCATCTAATGAACCGGCGCTTGCGATGCTGTTGTTTTGCAGAGCAGTTGTTGGTGACGGTTCTGTTGCGAAAGGAGATGTCGGAGTTTGATTTTTGTTGACTTCATCTATATCATCATCAAGAGGATCTTCAGGAGAATGATCAGTTTGTTGGGGGCAATCTTTGGCCTCATGAGTAAGTATACAACAACGTATGCAAAAGTTTCGTAACCTTTCGTATCTGAATTTGAGGACTGTGTTGACACCAATACTAAATTGAAAATTCCTCTGGAAGCGGAGAGGCATGTCAATGTTATAATCAAGTTTCATTTTGACAAAATCAACAACCTGTGCACCGTCACTGAAATCAATATCCGTGTAATCGCCCAATTGTTCTGCAATGAATTCAACAAGGGTGCAGTTGAGGTAGTGTGGAGGAATGCCACGCACTTGAAACCAGAATGGATTTGTCTTAAGGTCTTCATTTATTAATATCATACTCAATTTCGTGGTTACAAGCATCCAGTCATTGAACGACCAAAGGCTATGTTGACAGGTAAAGTTGACTGCTTCTTCAGACTCGAAGATGAACTGAAACCTTGTAGGTGTGATGATTCGTCCAATAATGGCGTCGCTCAGTCCCCATAGACGGGGTATTTGGCAAATTAGTGTTTGCATTTTCTGTTTCTTTGGATTGAGAAGACTATCCCCTCATAACACTTGTCTTTTGTTTATTGTCTCAAAGTTTTTATTTAAATTCATATTGTTTAGTTTAATTAATTAATTTTGTAAGACAAAACTTTACTAAAACCTTAAAAACAAAAACCAAAAATCTTATCTCTTATGACATTTTCTTTAGTATGCATAGATTTATCAAATAAAATAATAATTTTAAGTTAAAAAAGTAAACTATAAAACTTAAGAAAGTTAAATATAAGAAGATTTATTTCTAAAACAAAAAAATGGAAGTGAGGAAAACTTGAGATTTTATTTCAAAATGCATTAAATTTTTTTTATCTGGTATATATTTATTTTTATCTATCACATAATTATGTAATTTCAAAAAAAGGATAAATCTTTTTTTGCAAACAAAAGGTGTAGATAATTGCATATAATATATTAACATGTTAATAATTAATCATATATTGTTTTGATTAATAATTGGGTAATATGTTATGAATACTTAGTTAAAAAATCTGCCTTTCTTTATGCATGTATATATGTTACAGTTTTGCTATGTGTGCATAATATGTGTGATCAGTTAACGTTGTGTATATCAATATATAATATATATATATATAAGTGTTTTAGGCTTCTGAAAATATTTTATTTTAAGAACATTGCTTCTTTGATTTCTTAGGTAGATTTCAAATTTAAGAAGATGGGTTGGTGCTTTCGTCCTGGCGACAACGGGTTAGCATCATTTAAATTCTTGCAAACACTTAAGAAATTACGTTTACGACTTACTCTTTTTCAATATTTTATAGTACAATTGAATATGATGTCGAATTCAAGATACCGGATGGCTACAAATGCGATAAACTTATGATTGCCGCTATTTCCAACATCAAAGGTAGAATAATATTTATATTCATAGATTTTTCTTTTGTCAACATATTTAATTCATATTTTAAACTTTAAATATTTGCACAAAAAAGTTTAAACTTTAAATATAAACAGAATTGATAAAAAAAATTGATCGTATGATAATTAATTAGGGGTTAATTGTACGCCCGATGATGAGAATAAAAAGATTCGGGTCACTGGAAGATTTAATCTGGAGAAGATGTTGAAAAAACTCACAAAATATACAGGCAAAAAATTGCATGTGATTAAAGAAAGAAGAGGAAGATGATGAATCTAAAAAGAAAAAAAAAATTGTTAATTTCGAATTACTAAAGCTGGATATAATAAATATACTAAACATAAGAAATAAAGTAATTTCTCTTTCTTTTTTATTATTTAACATATGTAATGAGAAACTTTTCTATGTACAAATATTGGCTATATAAGTCATATATATATTTTTATAATGTAGTTAACAAATTGCACATTGTCTAGTATGAAATTATCTTTTCCTTTTTTATATCTTAACTGTTTTTTATTTGGCTTTCGGTTATGATGAGTTGTTGGTTAAAGTCGAACGCCAAATTATCTATATCATAATATGATGGGTTATTTGGCGTTCGGCTATGATATAGAAAACAAAAGAATGTGGTAGTCACCGATAACTTTATAAAGAGAAATTGCTGGAAAAAACATCAGAAAAAGATCCGTAAAGTGATAAAGAAAGATGCATTGAAGAATCTAAAATAGATACAGAGAAAGATGAAGAAATTGAGATTAGAGAGATTTGTATGTCCAACGAAAGAGTGATGATAAAAAAAAGATTGCCAAATATATAATGTTCAGTGAAGCAAACCCTAACGGATGTTCTACTTCATAAGATAGTCGAAACAAGTATCCACCATGCATGGTGATGGACCTTATTGATTGTCTTGTGCCATGGTGATGACTTTTTCGTCATTTTTATATGGTCACATGACAATAAAAAGGTAAAAATGAAAACATATTTCTATTCTAACGGATGTTCTATTTCATAAGATGGACGCTTTCATTTTTACCTTTTTAGAATCTTCTGTTTGGAAAATCAGAAATAAGCGTCTAATTTATATTAATCATTTTCTTCATGAATCAAATTAAAAAATCATATAAAAAAATCATTTTTTCATGAGCTGTTGGCTTGCTTTTGCTTATGTTTCCGGTGCGACTCTGATTTAATCTCCGGCTGAAGGCAATTCCTCTCCTCCTCTTCTTCTCCCTCCAGATCCCTCTGACCCTCTTCATCCCTTGAACCTCTCTAAATCCCACCTCTCTCGTCTCCCTCTTCCCCCTTTTCCCCTTCCCAGGACTCTCTTCTAACTGCTTTTCTTTAGCCGGAAAAATGTGGTCCTAGCTCTTCCTGCCCACAATATGCCTAGACCTGTTTTCGTTACCCCTTATCCTATCTAGTTCACTAATTTACTTCAAAATACTGAGGCTATCAATCGTAGATCTAGATCTGGTTTATCTATAGTGTCATTTGACTCTTTGGTTGACGATGCTCTAACTAAAGGACTCCTCTCACTTCCTGCTGATTATTTATTGGTTTGACTCTGCTGTTGTTGCCCTGCCAATGATTCTGCCTGTTGTCACAATTGAGGAAGCAATGGATACGACTGGGACCTCTGCTTCCTTTGAATCCCCTAAATCAAGTCCTCATCCTACTCAGCCTGTTTCAGCCCCAACCGGTACTACACATATTTCTATGAACAACGCTACTAAATTATGGGAACAAAAACTAAAGAAAGATGCATACCCTACCTTATACAGGTTAGCTCCCTTTGCTTACTCCCCTGAAGGTGTTTCCAGAGTGGCAATTCTGGACTATGTGTTTCAATAAGGGGCTGATCTCTAAAAAGACTTCATCATTTTTCGTTTCAAAGGCAAACCTCCTGATATAAGACTCGGGATATGAGACTTATATGATGTGGAATGGATGGTGTGATGGGGACAATACGTTGGCGTTGTCGCTCTCTCATACTGACCAAGGGGAGATGATGGTAGAACAAGACTTGTAAGACAAGACTTGAGCCGAGATCGGATCTATCAAGCTGGCTATGACACTCTCTCTTGAAGGATCGATGAATTGTAAAGCGAAAGTGGATTAAGGGCAACACAGAGAGAATGGAAAGCTCTCTGATACAAAAAAACACTCGAGCTTTGGTGAATCACTCACGCAAGAACACAAGCAAAGACCTAAGGACAAGAAGCGGCTTAAGATTTGGAAAAAAGTTCGGTCTCTTTATTGATAATGCAGGTAACCAAAAATACAATGCTGCAAGAGAGCTATATAATAGCTCGTCAGCTAGCCCTAGGGCTGAAAGTAAAAGAAAAACAACAGAAAGAAAAGATACAAGGAAGCAAAATGCAACAAAGGCAAAAGTTACAAAAATGAAAAGTTCATTTAACTACTTTAAAAGAAAAGTAAAACTAAGCCGTCTTCCTTGGTGTCTTTGGGGCTCAAACTGGTGACTCTTGATCGTGTTAAGAACCAATGGGACAAGTCATCTTACCTGCACATATTGTATAAATTGAAAATATCTGGTTTTGGTGCGCATTGAGCTTGGTTGGCAAGTTGGCGTGTATCTACCGCTCTGATCTTTTTTTGGGCGAGTTCCTTGAAGTCTTCATCTCCTTGATGTCCACTGAAGTCGAGTTGGTAAAGTTTCTTCAAGAGTTTCCTCGTGGTTATCGCTTGAAACACCTTGCTCCATTGGCCTTCTCTCGGCTACTTGGCTTGAATCTGCGGTAATTTGTTGCTCTAGTATGGCGTTGGTGAGGTTCTTGATGTTTTGGGCTCTATTTCCTGCTAAGTAAATGTACATACCTTTGTTTGTACTCGGCTGGTCTTATTTTAGGCTCATCTTAGCAAAGTCCTTGGTTATGTCTATAACGGGTGCAATGGAGCTCTTTTGGAGGTTGAACAAAGTTCCAAGATTCATGTTGATCAGGAGGGTTTTTATCGCCTTGTTAAACCCTTCCCTTAACCTCTTAATCTTAGACCATGTCATGGGTGAGCCATTGACCGGTGGTATGACCTTATGTCCCGGCTCCTCCTCTCCAGGTATAAGTAACTGGTCCATGTCCTCATCACCTCCCCCCTTCAAGCACGTCCAAAATGTGTTGAGCCATATGTGGGGTCATGGACATAGACTTGGAATCCACATGAATCTGTTCAGTCACACAATGTTGGTTAGAGTTCCCAATGCGTTTATTCGCAACAAAATTCTTAAGAAGAAATTGTGATATATTAGAGAATGCATGTTTATTGTTGCTCAATAGCATTCAACTAGAGGTGCATCAGAGGCTCTTGATGCTATCCTGATATGGTCTCACCTGAAAAGATTGCCTTTTGACCTAATATATGACAAAAGGATTAGGTTAGAGACTGATTTAGTTGGCGAACCAAAGGAGATGGATGAGTTTACAAAAAACTTAGTTAGCTTATCTGTCATTCATGTCAAGGTGGAGGTCAATTTAAATAAACATTTACCTTCGTCTGTGGAGGTTCTTCGTGAAGATGGCTCCATATAACAGTGGGAGTGGAATATATTTGACTCCCTCTTACTTGCTCAAATTGTAAAGAGCTAGGTCATGTTATCATATATTGCCAATATTTACCTCCGTCAAGCCCAACAAAATCTAATGTTCCGAGGAAGGATGAAAAAGAAAAGGATCCAGCTAATGATGGTCCTAGTAGCTCGAGCACCTCCGCCCCTTAAGTGGGGGTTCCACCAATTGCTTATGAGGTCCTCCTCCTGCAATTGAAACTGTTGTTAGTAATACTGTCTCTATCCCCTCCACTGTTTCTAATTTGGTTTTCCCTCCCTCTCCCACTAGTTCCACACCCCAAACCTCCACTGAGGATTTTATTAAATTCTAAATATTTGGAGTCCAAAATGACTCACTTGCCACCTTTACAAACACCCACCTCAAATGATTTCTCCATCCTTAATACGTTCTCAAATTCATAATCCTTGAATCTCTCTATCCATTCCACTCCAAATTCCTTACCATGATCCTCAGACATGGTGTTTGATTTTCCCTCTCCCCTCGGCCATTCTATCTTATCGGATTTGCTTCCTACTTTAGAAGTAAACACTCACCTTTCTTAATGGAATATCTGTGGACTAAATGTTGAGGATAAATATCAGCTTTTTCTAATTGGCCTTCTTCTAATCTACATCTTTTTGGTGCTATTCTTTAAATTCATATCAAAGAACCAAACTTGAACCATATTATGAATCTAACATATCCTAGTTAGGACTATGCTACTAATCACCTTTATGATGAAGATGGTAAAATCATTGTTATTTGTAAGCCGTCGGCTCTTATCTTTATTCTTCAGCAGTCAAAGCAACAAATGACCTGTCATTTCACTATCCTGGGTTATCAATCTTTCTACTATACCTCTGTTTATGCTTCAAATTTAAGTGCTGAAAGAATAGACCTTTGGTGTAATCTGATTGATGTCCGCCATAGTCTGTCTCTTGATGCTAGTATGTGGATTGTCTGTGGTGGTTTTAACCAGATTATTAATCCATTAGAGCTTGGCTCTGTAATTTAACCACCTTACTCCTGACATGTTGGAAATGAATGACTGGCTGATGCAATTAGAATTGTATGATCTCCGTTATCATGGCTCCACCTTCACTTAGACCAATAAGCAGCCAGCTGACCCACGTGCTAAGAAACTGGACAGGCTCCTGGTCAACAACCCCTGTCTATCTTCGTATCCAGACAGTGTTGCTAGCTTTTTAACCCCAGATTTCTCTGATCATGCTCCTTGTCTTCTTAACCTTGCTTCCCCTCTTCCCTTTGTATGATCAAAGCCTTTCAAATTTCTCAATATTCTAGCTAAACATCCCTCCTTCCTTCCCCTGATTGAAACTGCATGGAGTCTTGCTGGAAACACATTTCCACACGGGTCATGTTTTTCATTATTGTGTTCTAAACTAAAATAACTAAAAACAGAACTGAAAAAAACTTAGTAGAGAGACTTTTTATGAGATTCAAAGAGAGTGAGAGATACTAATGAGTTACTTCACATTGTGCAGGTACAAACGCTCACTAATCCCAGCCCTTTGACTTTTCAACAGGAAAGAACCCTGAATGCAACACTAGATAGGCTCAAGAATATAGAGGAATTTTATTTTAGACAAAAGTCCAGGATAAACTGGTTGAAAGAGGGAGATCAAAACACGACATACTTCTTCACAATCTTTCAAATGCGTAATTCCTATAATGCCATCATATCCTTCTCAACTCCCGCTGATTGTATAATCTCTAATCCTCAGGACATGTGTACTCTTGTTGTTTCCCATTTCAAAACCATCCTTGCCCCGATGATTCTTACTCCTACCTCTTGTTCCCCTGCTTGGATTTAAAGGCTAATTAGCTATCGTTGTAGTGACCCCCTAAAGCAGAGTATGATTGTTATGCCATCTACTGAAGAAATTACAAAAGTTTTGTTCAAACTTAACCCTAATAAGGTCCCTGGCCCAGATGGGCTTACCTATGCGTTCTTCAAAGCGGCTTGAAGTTTTGTGGGTATTGAGTTCATTGAGAGTGTTGGTGGCTTCTTCCGTTCAGCCTTCATGCCAAATACCACAAATACTACTATCCTCTCTCTGGTTCTGAAGCACCCAGGTTTGTCTTTTGTTCTCGGACTTTCGACCCATCTCCTGTTGCAATACCATATACAAGGTAATCTCCAAACTTTGGGTTGAAAGATTAAAGCCACTCTGCCAAATTGAATTATGATGAACTAAGTGCTTTTGTTCAAGGTAGACTTCTTTTTTGAAACTCTCTCCTAGTTGTTGAGTTAGTCCAAGGCTATCACAAAGCAAAGGATCCCAAAGGTATTATTATCAAAGTTGATATTGCAAAAGCGTTTGACACAGTTATATGGGAATTCATTTTCATCCGCCTAAGGGGAATTGAAGTACTTGAACTTTTCATCTGATGGATTCAGGGGTGTGATTCTACTCCGACTTTCTCAGGTGGTTATATTGACAATGTTCATGGGTATTTTAAGGACAAGAGGGGTCTGTGTCAAGATGATCCTCTGCTGCCTTGTCTTTTTGTCCTGGCTATGAACTGCCTCTTAGAAATGTTAGACAAAGCTGCTTCTGATGGACTGTTTAGTTATCATCACAAATGCAAAGACTCAAAGGTAACCCAATTTTGTTTTGCAGAAGATATTCTCATCTTCCTTAATGGTTTGTTTCTTCTGTTCTTAATGTGCTGAAGGTTCTAAAGGAGTTTGAGTCAGTCTCGGGCCTGGCTATCAGCATCAGTAAAACAAGCTTCTTTTCCTATGGCCTCCAACAACTTGAAATTGATTCAATAAAACAGCTTTCAGGTCTATCTCATGGAAATTTTCCGGTTCGAGATTTGGGCTTATCATTATGCACCAAGAAGAACGCTAATAAGGGCCGTAAGTAACATTCAAAGAAGGCGATTGGGTTTGGTTGCACATGAGGACCGAGAGGTTCCCAAATCAGAGAAAATCCAAGCTTTTACCAAGAGGAGATGGCCCATTCGAAGTTCTAAAGAAGATCAATGACAATGCATATCAAATAGAACTTCTAGGTGAGTTTAACATTTCTAATACATTCAATGTTTCTGATTTGTTACCGTTCGATGCAGAAGGAGTTCTGAGGACAGAACCTTTACAAGGGAAAGAGGATGATACAATATCAGAAACCAGCACTGAATCAAACACCCCCATCCCTACCATGAGACATACACCAAGAACTAGATCGGGAGCTAGAGAAATATATGAAGAATTTAACCAAGCTGTGGAAACCCTTATCACTAACAAGGAACTTGAAGACATTACCTCTCAACTTGGTCAACAAAGCATATCTAAGGAAGTGTCTCAAGCAAGGATGGAACTTGAAGAACACGGCACCAAGATAAGGTTATAGAAGCATATGACAGTTCAAACACCAAAACTATACAATATATCAAGGAGTGGCCGTTAATACAAGGAAGGAAAGAAGTTACCTTATTCAGCATTTCACCACTTATCTAAGCAAGTCCAAAACGCATAAGCATGAAACACATCATTCCATTCATACCAGCCAAACCAAGATCATTGCCAAGGTATGTATTTCAATTATTTGGTTTCCTTCGGGTATCTAAACTAATAAAAACAAGATTTTTTTGAGTTAAATATGATTTGCATAATTTTCATTAGCTAGTCAAAGGCATGTGTTTAGCCAATTATCTTTATTTCGGATTCAATCATTTGTGTTTACTTTTAATATAATTTGATTCAAAGACTCCAAGAAGGGCAAAGCTGTTTAGAGTAATTATAAAGTCCTCTCTCACAATAATGTATTTTTTAACTTTGATGAAATAAACAACCGAAATAAACTATCCTTGAAATTCTTAAACACTTGAGTGATTTTTTGTTTGAGAGTTTGTGTCTTACCAGAGTTTATATCCATAAAGCTTTGTGGCAGCTTCAATCCATTCATTGTTACAAAGTCATATCATTCACTGATCAGAAGAAACGAGTTGTACAACCACTCTCTGATCCCATACGCATCCATTTCATTCTGTAAGTCATCCATTAACCAGCCTGAACGAGTTATACGACTATCAGACGGTTCCATCAGCCCATATACGAGATCACTCGCCCCTGATCTTGTGTCATCTGGTATCAGAGCTGAAAGGATTCTAATCAGGTGTATCTTATCTTTATATACATTTTTCGTCACTTTCATTTTGTGTTTCATTGCCTTGCAATTTATTCTATTATTTAAAAAAAATATAAAATCCAGTTTTCGCTTATGTGCATTTAGTTTCATTTTGTTTTATAAAACCTAAAACAAAAACAAAGATTTCTTTCACTACCTATTTGTTTAAGTTTATAAACCAAAAATCCAAAAGAAAGTTGTATTACATTCTCATAAACCGAGCATTTTTCTCTTACCATATTTGTTCACATATTTCTATCATTACCATAATCACCATCCGTGCATTACATACTGTGTTAAGACTATTTCCATATTTGGCTGGAATATTATTGTCATTACCATCATTACCGTGTTCAATAAATTTTCATTACATCAAGCTTAGGCATTTGATTATGAGATTTTATTGAATCATTTTGTGTTTATTCCGTGTACTTCTTGAAAGAACCTATCCAAACATTTGTTCTTGTTGAATACATAGGCATTAAACATAGGAGAAGTTGACCAAGAAGCAATGATGCACCAAATGTTGGCCTCTATACAAAGTATTAGTGATTGTATGACTCGGCTGGAGCAACGAGCACCACCACCAGCTCCAGAAGTACCAAATGGCTGTGGAAATCGAGAGAGAACACCTCAATCTCAAGAAGAGAATGATAGCAATAGTGACATGCCAAACCTTGAGGAGGACAACCAGGATCCTAGACCAAGGAGGAATAGAGATAGAAGCAGAGGAGGGAGAGAGCGAGATAAGGAACAACCATGCCTTGGAGGCAGGGACCTCAAACTCAAAACCCCAATATTTGTTGGAAGAGTCAATCCCGAAGCTTACATCGATTGGGAGAGAAGAATGAAGTACACATTCGAGTACTACCACTACAACGACACTAAGAAGGTCTCCTTAGCAGCTGCTCAATTAACGGAGAACGCCCTTTCATGGTGGGACAGAGAAGTGCCCGAGAGAAGAAGGCATAGACAAGCTCAAATCAGCACTTGGGCTGATATGCGCTATTAAATGAGGAAAATATACATTCTTTCTTACTACCACCGTGATCTACAGAAGAAATTCAGGAAGCTTACCCAAGGAACTAAGTCTGTCGAGGAATATTTTGAAGAATTTGAGCTACTGAAGAACCGTTTGGAGACTAATGAAACAAAAGAAACGCTGATGGCTCAATTGGTAGATGGTCTTCATGATCGCATAGCGAGAAAGGTGGACAGAACGAATTATAGAGACCTTGACGAGCTACTACACTTAGCTGTACAAGCTGAGCAACATGTCAAGAGAAATTCAGCAACTACTGCTCGTGCCAAGTCAGCCTGGAATTCATAGTCGAGAGGAGTAGATAAAGGCAAAGAACCGGAGTCAACATCTAAGTTCAAGAAACCTTTTGTGAAATCATCTGAAGGAACTATAGCCGATCCTAAACCCCCAAAATCAACGTGCTAGAGACGTTACTTGTTTCAAATGCCAAGGAAGAGGGCATTATGCTCGTGATTGCCCTAATCAACGAGTCATGCTACTTAAAGAAGATGGTGAATATGAATCTCAAGATGAAGCAGAAGCTAAACCTCTAGAGACTGAAGAAGAAGTTACTAATTACCCTGATGAGGGAGAGATACTTGTCACTAGGAGAGTCTTCAGTACATTCGTTGACCCTGAAACATTGCAGAGGGAGAACATCTTCCATTCGCATTGCACCATAGACTCCAAGGTATGTAGTCTAATCATTGATGGTGAATCTTGTACTAATGTTGGTAGCACATATTTGGTGGATAAGCTAGGTCTAAAGAAAACAAAGTACCCAAGTCCACATAGACTTAAATGGTTAAACGATGAAACAGAGCTGAAGATTGGAGAGCAAGTCATCGTTCCATTCAGCATTGTAAAGTATGCCGATCAAGTACTATGCGATGTTGTACCTATGCAAGCCGGCCATCAATTGCTTGGAAGACCATGTCAATTTGACAAAGAGGCGGTACACAACGGTTGTACCAACTACTACAGCTTTGTTCACAACAAACGCAAGCATAACGTTGCTCCTCTTACTCCGAAAGAAGTCTTTAATTTGCAAAAAGCCATGGACAAAGGAACTAAGCTAAGTAAAACTAATCCTTACATAACTTCTAGAAATGTTTTTAAAGTTTTAGATAACAAAACGCAGGTGCTACTGATGGTCTTTAGAGAAAGTTTATTTTCAGGACAAGATCAAAAAGAGCTACTCGTTGAGATATCTAAGCTACTAGAAGGAGTCAAAGATGTCTTTCCTGAGGATATACCAGAAGGATTACTTCCCATTAGAGGAATATAGCATCAAATAAACCTCATTCCAGGAGTTCTACTACCCAACAGGCCAGCATATCGAGTTAATCCGGAAGAAGCAAAGGAGTTAGAAAAGCAAGTTCAATAGCTCATGTCAAAAGGATACATCCGAGAAAGCTTAAGCCCCTGTAATGTATCAGTCTTGCTAGTACCAAAGAAGGATGGTACATGGAGGATGTACGTGGATTGTAGAGCAATTAACAACATCACTATCAAATACAAACATCATATTCCTTGGCTAGACGACATGTTAGATGAATTGAGTGGCGCCACCATATTTACAAAGATTGATTTAAGGAGTGGATACCACCAAGTCCGAATGACGGAGGGTGACGAGTGGAAAACCGCTTTCAAGACCAAGAGGGGTATATACGAGTGGCTCATGCCATTTAGACTCACCAATGTCCCTAGTACTTTCATGCGGTTCATGAATCATGTCATACGAGAGTATATGTGTAAGTTTGTAGTGGTATATTTTGATGATATATTGATATATATCTCTAACTTAACTGATCATATTGAGCATCTTGAAAAAGTATTAGAAACTTTAAGGCTAGAAGGACTATATGCAAACCTAAAGAAATGTACTTTTTGCACTGATCAAGTAGTGTTTTTAGGTTTTGTTGTAAGTTCACAGGGACTTAAAGTGGATGAAGATAAGATAAAGGCAATACAGGAATGGCCTACCCCCACTACCATTGGCCACGTTAGAAGCTTTCACGGCTTAGCAAGCTTTTATATAAGATTTGTCAAGGACTTTAGAACCATTGCTGCTTCTATGACATCGGTGATAAAGAAGAATGTAGCATTCTCATGGGTAGAAGAACAAGACAAAGCCTTTCAGAAACTTAAAGACAGCCTTACACATTCTCCTGTTTTAGTTTTACCTAACTTTAACAAAACATTTGAAGTTGAGTGTGATGCTTCAGGAACATGGATTGGCGCTGTACCTACACAAGGAGGGAAACCAATAGCATATTTTAGTGAGAAACTCAAAGGAGCTGCTCTTTACTATCCCACTTATGACGAAGAATTATATGCCCTGGTAAGATCACTAGAAAATTGGCAACATTATCTTTTATCTAGAGAGTTTGTGATTCATACAGATCATGAGACTCTTAAGTACTTGAGAGGCCAAACCTTGCTGAAGAAAAGACATGCTAGATGGCTCGAATTTGTGGAAACATTCCCTTATGTGATCAAATACAAGAAGGGAAAGGAGAACATTGTAGTCTATGCACTCTCAAGAAGACATGCTCTAATCTCTACAATGGACAAAAATTATGGGATTTGAACATCTAAAAAAATTATACAAAGATGACC